TGAATAGCCTAGACCCCCCCCCCCCCCCCCCCCCAAAAAAAAAAAAAAAAAAAAAACCCAGGAAAAAACATTGGTTTTCCTAGGTCAATATATTTTTTTTGTACTGTGCAAGTACAATGAGGATCCATAAGTTCAACATTTTTGAGGTGATAGAATCAAAGTTGTTGGAGCAATTAGGACTAGAGGAAGGTACAGGGACTAATATGGATTTAGGCAGTAAGAACGGATATATTATTGTTAAGGTAACTAAGGGCAGCCCCAACATACAAGTGAAGAAACAGAACTAGTGTCGCTGAAAAGTACAGACAAGGATTTTGCTGTTGTTATTACCTTCAGGCTTATTTGGCACAGAAAAGTAATTAGGACAATGTAAGTAGGAAAGATTTTAGAATATGAAAAGACCTATTTGCAGGACTATTTTTTGGTGGAGAATATTTGCAAAAGAGAGATAATTTAGAGGGTGCAGATTATACCTATTTCATGGACTATTACTTGAGTAGAACAGAGGTTGTTTAAAGCTATCTTTTAGATGAAAATAAAGTTTTTTCCTATCATCTAGTGGAAGGATAGCCAGTACATGTACATTTTAAGATATGGAGATGCTTGTTTAGAAATCAGCATAAGCGCATGCCCACACACACATTTGAACACCCACTCACATGTTCTATCACCTTCATCACATCTGTACACACACAAGTGCACGTGCACATCCATGCGCATGCACACACAAGCATAAAGAAGCACAAAAATGTGCATGTAAAATGTAATTGCCCTATACTATATAGTATGTTTTGTTACCATGTAAAATGAGTAAAAGGAAAGTTAGAAAAACATGTAAAATGATTGAAGTACAACAAAAGAAAGAAAAGAAATATTACTTAATCCTTTTTCTATAACATGAAAAATTAGATAAAGTGGAGGCGAAAAACACACAAGCTATCTCACTCGAGTCCTCCAAATTTCACATTTAATAATTGCTAAATAATCATCAGGTGATTTACGTGATATTAATAATATATACGTGTAACAATATAAATATTACCTATCTATTAACAATTTACATGAGTAAACATGTAAATAGGTATGGTTAAAAAAATCTTACCTTCAATCAATCCATTTAACTTGACAAATAAGAAACTCTTGGTCTTAAACTACCCCTTTAGTTATATGATTAAGAAGAGCTTATTCTTGTCCTAAAACAATCTAAGGGGATGTTTGGTTCAAATTCTAAAATTATAAAATTTGGAATCTCATCAAGAATTTCAAATCCATGTGTTTTTGACATATTTTGAAATTCCTGATCTTATGTTTGGTTCAACTTGATTAGAGGAAATTCTAAAAATTAAAATTTATTATTTGATTCAAACTCTAAAATATATAAAAGTACAAAATATATGGACATGTAATGCCAAACTTCAAAATTTTAGCATTTGACAAAAACTCTCCAAATTGTAGGATTTGGCAAATCCCAAAAGTTCCTATTTTTTCATTTTATGGATACTTAATGCCATTTTTTTTTGAAACAAACACTATATAGAATCCCATAAATGAAAATGAGACATTTTTGCTCCAAGAATTTGAAATCCACCTCAAATGCTAAAAACTTTGTTGAACCAAACAGCCCCTAATAGTCCAAGTATTTCATTTGTTCAGTATGTGAACTTTGTTGATGCGCAAAAGATCAATGGATGACCTTAATACATGGAAGATAATGAGAGGGGCCTTTGACAATCTTCTTGACAGAGTTGGGGCACAATCTTCTTCAAACTTGTCCTAAATGCACAACATATATTTAAGCGTTAGGGATGATTTCCATGGTAGGCCTTTCGACAGTCAAATTGGTATCCATCAAGTGGTTTAAACAACAATGACAACAAGATTAATCCCAGCTTAGAGTTAAAATCTTTTATCTCACTTTCAGACACTATTTATGGGTTCACACTAGGGTAAATTAGGAATAGGAGAAATTTGCACATATCAACCTCCTATTGGTCGAGGTGGTTACATAGTAACCGAATCTCCCTGATTTGCGAAAAAGATATGGTGGGAGTGCATATACTATCAGAATGCTTCGCATCGTGTGGGGCGCTCTGAGCCATTGAGATAACATGTAGGGGATAGTTTGGGTATTTTATTGCCTTCCTTTATAACTTACGTCTCACTACATGATGCGGTGTTTCGATAAAAAGTGCGGATAACCTGTCACGCAACTAGGGGAAACCCTAACGAAACATGATGACATACTGTCGAGCTGAGTTAAGATGACCAAACTCTAAGTTCGGTGGTCAATATTCATCGCCTTCCGCAAGCTCTTTGTCATGGTTTTAAATATCGGCCGATAATCCGATATTATCACCGAGTTATCGGATTTGGGAGCTTTCCGCTAGGATAAGTAGGATTTTTAATCGGTTATCGTTTTTTGAAGTTTATCGGCGAGTTATCGGCGATAAAGACACTTATCGGCCGATAAGTAGGCTCTAAATATCGGCTTTATCGGCCGATAAGTAGGATTTGAGAGCTTTTACTTTTTTTGAATTTGCTCTTTGAATGTTTACAAATTATGAGATATTTGTTGCTTTTGGAACTTGGTTGATTGGTAATTAGCTAATGTTTGTTTATGGATATTGATAATGGCTCATAACTACTAAATATCAACTTAGTAAGTTAGTTTATAAATCTCATGATTAAACAATAATTATGTAGATGCGTAGATGGTTTTTCATTCTTGATGTTATCTTATTATTTGCTTGTTTATTATTCCATTTTGACTAACATTATATTTTTTTTCAAGCTTATGTTTGTTTATTATTTGCTAGTATATTACTCCGATAAATACTACTTATCCCCGATATATCCCCGATTTCCGCTATCCGATAAGGATTTTGACCGTCTGATAAATCCCCGATAACCGACATTTAAAACCTTGCTCTTTGTCCTGAGCTCACTGGCTTTTCTTTAAGCTAGCTATTAATATGTTCCAAGTCACTAGTCCACAGTGGACGATCTCCGAGACACATGGCATTTCCCCATTGATTATCTTTCTAACCCTTAGTTATTTGCACACCAGAACTGCTATATCCTTTTCATGCACGAGCTGGCATACTTTTCTTTGAATTTATGTAGCTATTTGTTGCATTCCATACATTTCAAACTTTATAAAGTCCTTTAATTTTCTTCCATGTTACTAACATTAGAGTTAAACAATAAATTCAAGGCTAATTAGCACTTAACATCCCGTATAGTTTCCTTTACCTTGCACTTATATAACCTCGCTCATTTTTAGCAGCACTTATATGCCCTGAAGTTTCTAAAAGTTGCAACTTAATGCCTTATGTTATGCAAACATGAGAATTTTGCTCCGAATTTTTCCATGTGACATTCATAAGCTAATTTTAAAACTTTTTAGCCCTCAAAGTTTGTTGAATTTACTGTTGAAGATACAATAACTCTATTTTAAACATATTCCAGTTATATTTTAAAATAGAATTATGATGGTTTAACACTAAATTCAACAAACATTAAAGGCAAAAAAGTTCTAAGATATGCTTGTGAGTGTCACGTGAAAAATTCTAGGCAAAATTCTCAAGTGTGCATAACTGTAGACAGTAAAAATGACAAACCGTTGATCGATTCGCTCAAATGTTACGTGGGCCCTAAGGGTAGAATGGTCATTCAACATGACCAATGAGTTCATCAAAGCCATGTGAGTCCAGAATTTACTAAGGATACAAGTCTATAAAGTCCTGAGTCAAGAAATGAGAATCACCGTGAAGTCCGCTCAAAATGGCTAAGTGTGTGATGACAGGAGCTTAACATCATCACGCTAGCCTGCTTATCCTCATGTCATATGCCCACTAACGGCCACTAGTAGTCAGTCCTGCAACAGATAATATGAATTCAGTGCAAAAGAGATAAAACGCCCACAATTGATGATGCCGAGCTGTAAAAAGGCACCATCATATGGTGATGCAAGGTTAATTGTCTCACGTGAACTGCAGTTTCTGTTAAAAAGTACCGTACAATTTGACTGCCAGTACGATTTACATTGCAAGCTGGCAGCCTAGAGGTGCGCGAACCCTAGGTCCACATCAACCTAGCCTTGCATCAAGAAGGGTTTTCAACCTATAAGTAGAGACCCTTCACCAACATTTCAAGGGCTCGATTTTCCTCCAGTTTTGGCTATTTACTTGATTTTCTTGCTATCCAAGGTTCTTCATCAGTTCATCGTCTCTCTTCTCTCAGGTTGCTTAACATCTCTATTAGCTTTATTTATTGGAGCTTTGCTTTTGCTTAAATCCATCAAACTCCTTTGGCGGGGATTTTCTCATGGTCTGAAGGGTTCATATCACCAACAAGGTTCAAAATCCTAAATCAGGGTTTATTTTTTCTTCACTGGGTTCATATCACCCTAGAGAAATTAACAACTTCTACTAGGAGCTCCCTTCAAACCAAAGTCAATGAAAGCTCTTCAACAACAACCCTCATTTCGGTCGTGGGGTCGAAGGGACAAAGGAGTGAGCTCCTATTAGTGCAACTTCCCAAAAAAAAGGTGAAGCATTCCTTTGTTACTTGTTCAAGTTGAACAATGAGAAAAAATATGTCTTCTTCCTCAAATGATGGAGACAATAAGGTATTAAAGTGCAACTTTTAGAAACTTCAGGGTACATAACTGTTGCCAAAAACAAGTCAGGGTATATAAATACAAGGAAGAGGAAACTATAAGGCATTCAAGTGCTATTTAGCCAGAAATATGACGAGTCAGTTTAAATCATTGTGCAGTTTTGTGAAATGCCAAAATGTACACATGCCAGATGATCCATCCCCGCAAAATTCTGTTTAGAAAACGTACAGTACATATCTCAAACATAGGTCTCTTGATTTATTATGTACAGCAGTACAAATACAAACTCGGCTCGCAATGTACTCATAAATAGGGTCTTTTCGATTGAACTATGCTTTAATTATATTTATTTGAGTTTGGTTTTATATTACTTGGACAGCTTTCTAGTCACAATCATGGGTTTGTTGATTCCATGGAGTGCTACACTAGCTATGGTAGATGCGTACTCAATTTCCACAAGATGCCAACTTCGCTTACCGAGTGTACTCACAATTGTGGTTATAGGAGATTTGGTATGTTTCAATCTACATTTTATACATTTTATAAATATATGCTACGTTCACAGTTCCTAAACATACTCATCAGCTTTCTTTTTTTCTTTTCTTTTTTTTTTCTTTTTTTTTTTCAGGTTTTAGCAATATTATCGTTAGCGGCAGCTTGTGCAAGTGTGAGCGTCGTTGATCTCCTTGTTCATATTGATGGACCTTATTGCCCTCCTAAGTTCTGTGGAAGATATCAGTTATCTGCAGCAATGGCTTTCTTGTCTTGGTTTCTGACTGCTGCTTCTTCCCTTTTTAATCTATGGCTTGTGGCATCCTTGTGATTGTTTCTTAAACCGGTTCTGGATGCTCTATTTTTGTATATAATATCATCAGATAAGCAAAAAAAAGAAAGCAAAAGAACTAATAAAAAGAAGGATATACTCTTAGAACTGTTTTTGCAGTATATATAATGAAATACAAAACTATGGATTCAATCTCTTTTATTATTAATATTGCATTCAATTTGACAATCAAAGCCTAGCGATTTATAAAGGGTTAATTGCGGATGGACCTATAGTAGTTCTATTGTTGTAGATGGGTTGTAGATGGGCCCTCTGGGTGAATTTTTTTAGCCCAGTTTATTCTCTGGAGGTTATTTGTCAAGAAACAATTTCTTTGAGAATAAGGTAGTCAAAGAAATTTCCTATGAGAAATGATAGAGGCACATTCTTCACCACACCTCTAACCACACCTTCCCTCTTGTTACAGTGCACCGGGGTTCATTTGAGATTTAAAATTTGAAAAATTCCTCAAGGACCCAAAATATGAGACCAATAGAGGGGATAAATGAGGTGTCCCCCTCCTATTGGATAATGAGTTGGCCATCATTAATGATGATCAACTCATTATCCAATAAGAAGGGGACACCTCACTTGTCCCTTTTATTGGTCCCATATTTTGGGTTCCCGTAGCAAAGCTCTTAAAATTTATATCTCAAGTGGGCCCTGGTGCACTGTAGCAGGAGGGGAGGTATGGTTGGAGGTGTGGTGGAGAGTGTGTCTCTAGTGCCTCTCATTTCCTATAGCTTGCTTTTCTCACTCATTGTAAAAGTTTCAATTTGGTCACTGGCCTCACTTATTAGTGGAATCTAGATGTAAGTGATAGATTATTGCCTTTTGTTGCATTTAGTGTCCTAGAAAACAGGTGATTTATTAGGTTTATACTGAAAATTTCCAACTTCGAGGATATTCGGTTCATTTTTCCAAATGTCAGAAAATTTCTACAAGTTTTTCCAAATGTAAGAGTATTATTATTATTATTATTATTATTATTTTCCCAAGTGAGAGGATATTTCACTTAATGAAGCTAGCAAATGAAAACAACAATATAGAACGAAAAATGAGGGCCAAAACATAAATATATCATCATTCTAGAAAATTTCAAGCCTCGTTATCTTAGTCCAATCACATTAAATATTTTTCGGTCGTTTTGACAATAATAATGGCTTATAAGCCATGCATTTGCTAAACACTCTACAATTAAAAATGGATTATAATATACTAAATTTACTGAACACTTTTGAGTTATAATCTATTTCTGGATTATAAACCACTCATTTGTCAAACACTCGACTATTGAAAATGGATTATAATCCAAATTTATCACATGCTTTGAGTTATAATCCACTTGGCTTATAATCTATTTGTGGATTTATAAGCCATTGGATTATAATCCAAAGTTGCCAAATCTGCTCTTATATCCAGAGTGGTTTTGAGTCGTATCTTTGTGCATCACTATGATAGTCTTGGATTATTTTTTTTTCTTCTTTTTATATTTTGTATTAGTCCTCCAAAATTACCTTAATATATTGATATTAGTCCCTCTAGTTGGTGTTGAAATGAGTGGAGAATATTCTGTTTTCTTTTATTTTTTTTCTTGAATGGACGATTATACTCATATCCTTCCACTTCCCCTCTGACCTACTCTACCATCGTTGCCGCCCCTTCTCTGCCCTCTTCCTCCTGTGATGGTGGCGGTCATCATGGTGGTAGAGGAGGTGAGAATACTGGCGATGGTGGAGATGGTGGAGGTGAAGATTGTAGTGGTGGAGATAGAGGAGGCGGTGATGGATATACCGGCAAAGGAGAGACGATGGTGGAGGAGATGAAGGTAATAGAGGAGGAGGAGAGAGTGTGTGAGGGGTAATGAAGGTAATTCTCCACTCATGGCCAGTGTTAACCCAACCATGATTTAGGGTTTTGAATGGTAAACCTAGCAGAATGACTAATATCAACTCATTAGGGCAATGTTAGGAATTAATATCAAAATAATTATGATTAAGGGACTAATATCTTTTAAAAAAAGTTATTTAAAGAACAAGAGACGTCTAATGGACATCAAAACAATGATTGTATATACTCATAAACATGGGCATACGAACAGAAGAGCACAGGAAAACACCATATATATGTAGGGATAACTGCACACATTAGGTCACCATCAACTTTATCATGCTAACAATTAACAATAAATAATTCATTGTCGCATGATGGTAACCTAAAGTTGGTTCTACTTCAATCCCTATCTTTTTTTTCCAATTTCTTTCTCAAATGTTGGGTATATATGACATGTTTATAAAGCTATTTAAAATTGCCCAATATTTTAAATGTTTTTCCCCTGCCTCATTAGGTTCCACGTTTGGAATATTTATGCTGTATCAACAAAGTCGTAATAATTTGGGCCGTACATAATGTAGGGTCCATTACACAAAGCATGGGCGTTCAATTTGTCTAGGTTCGTCAATCGGTCAAAAGCCATCCATTATAGTCAGGACAAATTTTCAAAACCAACCGTTTTACACATTTAATTGCAAAAACTGACCCCTTTTCATAATAATTGCAAAAACCGACCTGTTTTCAGCCCAGCGCTGAAAACAGGTCGGTTTTTGTAAAAAAATCTCCGAAACATCACGGGAGTTCAACTCCCGTGAAGTTTATGGAGAAATTAAACTTCACGGGAGTTCAACTCCCGTGAAGCGTAATTTCTGCTTAAAACTCCACGGGAGTTGAACTCCCGTGGAGTTACAGTCAGCAATTCCAGAGAATCGAGTCTCTGGCAAATTGTGACTGCAACTTCACGGGAGTTCAACTCCCGTGAAGTTGCAGTGCCAGTTTTCCAGAGAATCGATCTCTGGAAAATTGGCACTGCAACTCCACGGGAGTTGAACTCCCGTGGAGTTTGCTGCCACCTATTTAAGCGCGTGTAATTGTTGTATACTCCCACTATTTGATTGTGATTACATGTAAGAATCTAGATTTTAAAATTTAATTATGAATTGTTTATGAATTTTATGAAGAAATGTGAAAATTAGAGGGAAAATTATCAATAAATGTGAAAATTAGAGGGAAAATTATCAATAAATGTGAAAATTAGAGGGAAAATTATCAATAAATGTGAAAAATAGAGGGAAAATTATCAATGGGGAAATTATCAATAATTTTTGTGAAATTTGTGAAGAATTAGTGTGTAATTTATCAATAATTTTGTGAAATTAGAGGGGAAATTATCAATAATTTCGAAAATTATTGTATTTAGAGTTTAGAATTTAATTGTGAATTATTTAGATTTTGTGAAGAAAAATTAGATTTTAGATTTTACATATGTATGATTTAAATTAGATTTTAGAATTTAATTTTGAATTATTTACGAATTTTGTGAAATTATCAATTAATGTGGAAATTAGACTTACTACCTAAATGTAAAAATTAGTAACAATCAATATTTATTTGGCTTTTCGTGTAATATTAATATTGAATTTTTCACTCTTCAGAGGTAACGATGAACGATCGAATTGTAATTCTATGTTCTTATGATGGGAAGATTAATTACCTCGAGAATAATATGCCCGTATATGAAGGAGGAACGACGAGACCGTTGTTCATAACAAAATCGTGTACTTTCGATGAGTTGGTTAATGAATTACACAAACTTACATTAACTAACTCACGTGAGTATCACCTCAGTGTGGTTTGCAATTATCCTGTTGTGGGGAACAGAACAAGTGGCATTCAAATATCTTCGGACTACGATATGGGTCTCATTCATGTCTTACACGACGAGAAGCGTTCGGTCGAATTGTTCATTGAAAAACATCAGAGAGATTTGGGCAAATCGTTGAACTACGAAGGAATGTATTCCCGCATGTTGGAGGATCCTGAAGTTGATTCTGTAGGCTTTTTATCTCCTCAACAAGATGAATGTTGGACACAATCACAATACATGAGCGGTCCTTCGTTCGTGGGCACTTCGAATGCTTTCGATACTAACACGGGAATTCAAGAAGATAATGCAAGTGTTGAATCCGAGAATGATGATGAAGAGGAGGGATTACAAATTAATAGCATGACCTTGATAGATCGTGATGACGGGGAAAACCAACACATTGACGGATGTTATGTTAATAATGAGTATGTCGGCTTAGAGGATCCGCCGCCCGATGAACTTCAAGGAGATGAATGGATTGATAACTCCGCGATGGAAAGTGTTCCTATTGGCACTAATAGCGGTGTTGATACACAGGCCGAGGACTTCTCATTCATGAAGGGAGATCTTTACGAGAGTAAGGAGAAATTGATCCATGCTATTCGCACGTATTCCATTGCAAAAAATGTGAAGTTCAGGCCAACCAAAAATAATACTACAAGCTATAATGTGGTTTGTTTCTATCGCAAAGATGACGATGTCGAAGATAATAGTGGACACCACGACGGCAATGCGAGGTGTCCGTGGAAGCTTAATTCACGCTCGGGTTCAAGAGTAGGTGGGCAATTCAAAATCACGGCATACAATGGACTCCACACTTGTAGCAATCCTCGATTAGAGATGAATAACAAGAATGCGTCCTCTTCTTTTATATATCGATTGATTTTACCGCATCTGAGGGAGGATCTTGATCTAAGGCCGAAAGATATCCGTCTTTTAGTGCATAAAGCCACCAACTTGGATGTATCATATCACAAGTGTTGGAATGCTAGGAGGAAGGCGATGATAAAAATATTCGGGGATTGGGATAATTCGTATGAGATTTTACCTCATTATCTTGAAGCAGTCAAAAGAGAAAATCCGGGGACTGTCTACGAAGTATCTTTGGACCCCGTTGATGGCGGAGACCGGCGGTTCACCGGTGTATTTTGGGCATTTGGGCCATGTATTGAGGGGTTTCGATATTGCCGTCCTCTTCTTAGCATTGATGGAACTCACTTATATGGTAAATACAAAGGCGTTTTGCTTGTTGCAACCGGAGTTGACGCGGATGGCGGGTTGTTTCCTTTAGCATTCGCAGTGGTTGATGTTGAAAATACAGAGAATTGGGCTTGGTTTTTTGCATGCATTAGATATCATATCCCTGTGGGAACGCGGCAGATTACATTCATATCCGATAGGATGAAAGGAATTCCAAGAGCACTCCAACAACATTTCCCGTCACCACATGCACATCGCTATTGTTTGCGACATATTAGAGACAACTTCAAGAAGAAGTATGGAAACGCTCAGGTTCAAGACTTACTTTGGCAAGCCGGTTGTGCAACAGAAAAATATGTTTATGAACAAATACGAGAGAGGATCAAGTTCACTTCACGAGCCGCACATGATTGGATCGAAACTAGTTTGGGTCCAAACAATGTTGATAAGTGGGCTTTATGTGAGGATGGCGGTCGACGGTTCTGTATGATGACTACGAACGCGTCTGAGAGCTTCAATGGCGTGCTCAGGGGAGCACGCGGCATGCCAATACAGGCACTAGTTGCTAAAACTCCGCAGCTTCATACACAGCCGGATACTCAGAATTAAATAATTTTGCGTATTTAGAGGTGAAATTATCAATTAATGTGGAAATTAGAGTTACTACCTAAATGTAAAAATTAGTAACAATCAATATTTATTTGGCTTTTCGTGTAATATTGATATTGAATTTTTCACTCTTCAGAGGTAACGATGAATGATCGAATTGTAATTCTCTGTTCTTATGATGGGAAGATTAATTACCTCGAGAATAATATGCCCGTTTATGAAGGAGGCACGACGAGACCGTTGTTCATAACAAAATCGTGTACTTTCGATGATTTGGTTAATGAATTACACAAACTTACATTAACTAACTCACGTGAGTATCACCTCAGTGTGGTTTGCAATTATCCTGTTGTGGAGAACAGAACAAGTGGCATTCAAATATCAAGTGACTACGATATGGGTCTCATTCATGTCTTACACGACGAGAAGCGTTCGGTCGAATTGTTCATTGAAAAACATCAGAGAGATTTGGGCAAATCGTTGAACTACGAAGGAATGTATTCCCGCATGTTGGAGGATCCTGAAGTTGATTCTGTAGGCTTTTTATCTCCTCAACAAGATGAATGTTGGACACAATCACAATACATGAGCGGTCCTTCGTTCGTGGGCACTTCGAATGCTTTCGATACTAACACGGGAATTCAAGAAGATAATGCAAGTGTTGAATCCGAGAATGATGATGAAGAGGAGGGATTACAAATTAATAGCATGACCTTGATAGATCGTGATGACGGGGAAAACCAACACATCGACGGGGCTTATGTTAATAATGAGTATGTCGGTTTAGAGGATCCGCCGCCCGATGAACTTCAAGGAGATGAATGGATTGATAACTCCGCGATGGAAAGTGTTCCTATTGGCACTAATAGCGGTGTTGATACACAGGCCGAGGACTTCTCATTCATCAAGGGAGATCTTTACGAGAGTAAGGATAAATTGATCCATGCTATTCGCACGTATTCCATTGCAAAAAATGTGAAGTTCAGGCCAACCAAAAATAATACTACAAGCTATAATGTGGTTTGTTTCTATCGCAAAGATGACGATGTCGAAGATAATAGTGGACACCACGACGGCAATGCGAGGTGTCCGTGGAAGCTTAATTCACGCTCGGGTTCAAGAGTAGGTGGGCAATTCAAAATCACGGCATACAATGGACTCCACACTTGTAGCAATCCTCGATTAGAGATGAATAACAAGAATGCGTCCTCTTCTTTTATATATCGATTGATTTTACCGCATCTGAGGGAGGATCTTGATCTAAGGCCGAAAGATATCCGTCTTTTAGTGCATAAAGCCACCAACTTGGATGTATCATATCACAAGTGTTGGAATGCTAGGAGGAAGGCGATGATAAAAATATTCGGGGATTGGGATAAATCGTATGAGATCTTACCTCATTATCTTGAAGCACTCAAAAGAGAAAATCCGGGGACTGTCTACGAAGTATCTTCGGACCCCGTTGATGGCGGAGAACGGCGGTTCACCGGTGTATTTTGGGCATTTGGGCCCTGTATATTAGGCGTTGATTTGTATTATGTAGCGTTTTGCACTATGTCATTCGTAGTTGTTATCTTTGAAGCGTATGATACTCGTTATTTGTAATATGTTCTGTATGCAACTCTGTTCATTTCACCCATGCATTTGTATTATGTAGCGTTTTGCACTATGTCAGATCATGTATGTCATTCGTAGTTGTTATCTTTGAAACGTATGATACTCGTTATTTGTAATATGCTATGTATGATACTGTGTTCATTGTACTCTGTATATATGCTCATATTTTAATCACAGGTCTATTCATTATGGATCCGGGACCGGAGAATCCCGACGTTTTGTACCTTCAGGCGAGTCATTGTTCAGACCATATTGGTTCGGGAGAGGTAATACGAATAAATTAGATATATATTTCTTCGATAAATGTAATTTTTTAATGAATATACTTAAAACTGATTCTCGTTTTATGTGCAGCCCGTACCAGAGTACACGACGATCGAGCATTCCTATAGTCATTCGGCATGGGTCATAGAGGATGAGAGGGTACTAGCTTTGATCGCTCAGGCCGGTTTTCGACCGTGTTCGACGATTCGTTATATCAGGCTTGATTGGCCGCTTATCACTGCTTTGATTGAGAGGTGGAGGCCAGAGACCAACACCTTTCACATGCATATAGGGGAGTGCACGATCACTTTACAGGACGTGGCCGTCATACTTGGGCTCCGGATTGATGGACCGGTAGTTACGGGCACCGACGATCATAGTTGGCCGGAGGTATGTGGCCGGCTACTTGGACAGGTTCCCGACTTGAGGAGTGGTGCGATGAAGCTATCGTGGCTTCGTCAGACATTTCAGGGCGACATACCAGAGGATGTCTCTGATGAGACGCTCCAGTTTCATGCACGTGCATACATATTGCACATGATAGGGTGCGTACTATTTCCTGATGCCAGCAAGACTCTCGTACATGCACGATGGCTGCCACTGCTGGAGGATTTTGGTGTATGCGGCGCACTATCGTGGGGGCAGTGCGGTGTTGGCATATTTGTATCGAGAATTGAGTAGAGTATCTCTGATGCAGAATAAAGAATTCAAGGGATGCTGTACGTTGATACAGATTTGGTCATGGGAGCGCATTCATATTGGACGACCCACTTTACTTATGCACCGTGACTTAGAGGGGCAGTATCCGTTGGCATACAGGTATAATTGTACACACACATATTTCATTCGTAACCTGAATATTTGTACTTATATATTCGCTATTCTGCATATAGGTATAACGTGCGATACGCTCAGTACAAATCAGTGACGCGTCACCGTCAGTTTTACCGAAATGAGCTTGATGGCCTCCAGCACGAACATGTAAATATAAAACTCAAGAAGTATGAATATTATAGTTTTTCTGTATGATACTGATAAATGTTTTATTTTATTTCAGTTCAAGTGGAGACCCTATACACCGCCGGAGCTGGATATGCATTCTCTTGCACTTATCTGCCGAGATAGTCCCGACTTGTGGAGAGCCAGAGTTCCATTGATCTGTTGGGAGATCGTAGAGATGCATGTACCGGACCGTGTGCTACGGCAGTTTACACTCTCTCAGCATATTCCAGATCCTGTCGAGCAGATCAATCGTCGGCGGCGCCCTACATCGCACCGGACTGACTGGGCCGTAGTCCGTGCGGCCTACATAGACAGGTGGGTTCAGAGGTGGGATTGCATACAGGATACGAGGCCCACAGCTGTTGACTATACCACGTATATACGTTGGTATTGGGGTATCACACGTAGATGGATCACGCGTGACCCACAGCCTTTAGCTGGACATATGCCACGCCCACCGACAGATAGTTACATCCCTAGTGGGATGAACGAGAGAGATTACGTAAGTTTCTAAGCTAAATTATAATATTTTTTATTGAGTTGATACTTAATAAATTGTTTACCACGCAGGTCCGTGTTTTAGATAGCATTGATGCTGATATTGATGCGCACGTGACTGAGATTCAGGATCAGGTGGCGTTAGGTCTCCTCAGCAGGATCAAGAAGAGCATAGCGCAGGTGTTCCATAAGACTCACGTCGACGAGTTCGCAGGCCGTGAGGACAGGTCTCGCTCATTTGGACGGGCGTACGCTCGACGTCGACGGCCGCGTGATGATGACGCCGGCACTTCGCATGCCGATGGAGCCGGCACTTCGCATGCCGAT